CAAGGATGGTACCGAGGTTTTCCTGCTCTTGATAGACTGAGGTCAGAAGTCAGTGCCTTTTTGGAAGGTCATAGAAGATTTTAAGCCCAATAGTGGAGCCCAGCTAAGGAAAAGTAATGATTTGTGGTCTTGTAATTGTCTCTAACTTAAAAACATTTGAATTTATTAATCTTGGAGTGCTGATGAAAGTTGAAACTCTGTATTGGTCCATATATGATGGTGGATCAAAAGGATCAGGCTCCAAGGCTGTTTCCTTATCACCTGTTGAAGGAAGGCTGGCAGGGGAATGGTTGCCCAGGGGCAATGCTGGGCCATACTGTCACTGCAGATAGGAAACCAAGCAGCATTTCAAGGTGTGTCTGCAGAAGCTCTTCTTTTAGTGGCCACCCCTTGGGGCTGCCCCATTCTCCTTCAAATTCAGTTTGTAGTAATGCTGAATGAGCTGCTGTCCTGATGCATAGGAAGTAGTGAAAAACTTTTAAATCAAACATCTGCCAGCAACATATTTCCTGTGGTTGTCCTAGCCATGAATTTTTCACTTTGCTCTGCCTTCCCTCTTGCATATTGCTAATCTCCAATCGTGCTTCTCTCTTCCCTTTTATTCGCTGATGTTCAGCTCAATTTTAATGCGGAGATCATCTTGCACTGCTCATCACTGCTGGTTTTTTTCTGTATCGAATGGAAAGACTAGGTCAGGTTGTTATTCCTACACTGGCTGGTTATGCTCAGTATGTGACATTCTCTGCAGTTGTTCTGATTATGCCACGTCCTACTTCATTCCTCAGACTGCATGAAGAGCCAGGTTTGCAATAGTCTCATTTTTCCTGTGCCTTGCTCCATTGAGAAAAGCAGATCTGCCCATCTTTTTAAGATGGTAAAAACTGTCATATATACAGCACTAGTAATTGGACTTTTTACTGCTGTCAGCAGCTAGTAACTGCTAGTAACTCTCACACTGATGTGTTGTACAACTGGCATTAGGAAAATGAGGAAACCACAGAAATACAGCTGTGTTCCAAAGTAACTCTTGTGTACTGCTCTGTATAAACATGCGTAGCTTGTCTGTTTAGTTTTTACAACAGACCACAGGAAGAGCACTTTGAATTGTATAAATAAAACTGACTGCTCAATTCTAGCACCTGTAATGGTAAAAAAATGAAGTTTAACAAATCGATATGTATATAAATACTCTTTTTAACTTAAATGGATTTTTTTTAACCCATAATGAAATGAGGCATTTATATCAAAATGGTTTGGAAATGGACACGGATCTTTCACAGATTCTTCTGGCAATGAAGTAAAAATGGGCACACTGCATCCCACTGAGCTAAGTGATTTGATGCGTAACTCATGAAATAGAAGGAAAATATATTCAAAGAGACCGATAAATTCTGTTGACACAGAAACTGGGTGAAAATCTGGGATGGGTAAGGGAAGGGAATTATTTTCTTCTCCTTGGGAGCTTGTATCCAAAACAGAAAGATGGATTGACACAAAGGGAATAGTGTACTGAGGAATGCCTAAGACTGAAGTATTGTTCTTTTTGCACGAGAGAAGTGTAAAGGCTGCTTGATAAAGAGAAGGGAATACAAAAAACAGAGAGAAAAAAAGTGATAGAGAAGCAGGCATACTGAAACAATAACATCAATAAGCTGCTATTCCAAGGAGATGGAAAAGCAGGCTGTAATTTTGATACCACTAAAAATGACAGCAAGTTTATTGAAACAGTGGAAAAGAGGGGAGGGAAGGGGGACAGGGAATAGAAAGGAGCATTGAGGGTGAGGGGTGTTTCTTGTTGGTTTTTTGGTTTGTTTATTTGTTTTTCAGGAAATGTGCTAAGTTTGGGAATCATTCTGAGGTTGATGACCACATGATGGTTTGAAGAAAACACTGTGTGAGGCCTTTTATTGAAAAGGTGATGAAATTGTCGCTTCTAACAAAATATCCATGTTTTCTTTTGTCAGTGGCAGAGCACAGAGTCCTGCATCACAGTACTCAACTCGGGAGGGGGCCTGTGCATCTTGAATTTTTTTAGTGCTGTAATGATCCAGTCTGAGATGGCAATTCATGTTTAGCAATTCTGATTTAATTTACAACTCAGCTAGAATATAATTATTTGCTGATTATACTTTAGATTTTGTGGTAGAAGAAAGATTGTTTTTGAAGTCTGTCGGAAGAGGAAAGACTCATAACTTTACATAGTCAACATTTATTTCCAGAAAACTGATTTTTCCACTAATGAAGGGCAAACAATGAATTTTCTGAGTTTTGTTTATCCTAAAGTGAGAACTGATGCCAAGCTGAAGCATTGGGGTAATGGACGTCTTCATAATAAATTTGAAATCCTAATGCCTACACAAAAGAGTTCTGTTAATTTGTACTGATGACTGAAAGATTTGCAAATTAGACAGTAAGTAAGAATAGGAAAAAAGAAAAAAAAGCAAGCTTATTCACTGTGAAGTTCTGTGCATTCATTATTCATTGACAGATACTCCATAGGATTTGGATATTTATAATAAATATACTTATTACCAAACATGGAACGTAGATGCAGGAGATGTCAGTTCAGCCCTATGTTTTCACTTGAAGCAGCTGGTTATATTCATGTAGCATTAGTAGTGGGAGTATGTTGTGTGGCTTTCCTGTCAGTTACTGGCAAACAGTATCCCTGAGGGATGTATCCAGCCTTACAGACTTTTTGCATCGTACAAAGAATGTGGAAGACCATGTGTGCTTTCTCTGTGCAGGCAGCTGTCTTCAGGTTCAGGTTTTCTATTCAGAAAACTCCATTGTTCTACCATACAACTTCTCTCCTTTAATTGCAATTCATTTCATATATTTAACATATTCTTGCTTTGCTCTGTAAGTTACAGAATCACAGAATGGCTTAGTTTGGAAGGGATCTCAAAGATCATCTAGTTCCAACTCCCTTGCCATGAGTAGGGTTGCCAGATACTAAATCCAGCACCAAATTGCTGAGGGCCTCATCCAACCCAGCCTTGAGCCTCCAAGGATGGGATGTCCACAACATCTCTGGGCAGCCTGTGCTATGGCCTCACCACTCTCTCCCTCTGACATCTAGTTTAAATCTCCCTTCTTTCAGTTTAAATCTATTCCCCCTTGATCTATCACTATCTACCCATGTCAAAAGTTCATTTCCATTCCATTTATAATCTTCCTTCAAGTATTGTAAGACTGCAATGAGGTCTCCCATGAGCCTTCTCCAGACTGAACAAGCCCAAGCTTCCTCAGCCTATCTGTGCTTTTTGCCAGACCCCTCCTCCTCAAGATCACAAACTACCAGGGCATGGTTACTACAGCCCAAAGTGCCACAAATCTTAACTCTTTAATAATCAACTCTGCATTGGTCAGCACCAGGTCCAGTAATACTTCTCCTCTGGTTGTTCTGTCTAATATCTGGAGCAGGAAGTTACCCTCAATGGACTCCAGAAGTCTCCCGGTCTGCTTGCAGCTCTCCATGCTGTTTTCCCAGCAGATGACAAGGTGGTTGAAATCCTCTATCAGGATGAGAGTCTGCTTCATGCAGTTGAAGCAATAAAGCCTCACCAGCCTCATCATGGCTTTTCTCAGAGGCAGCTTTTTGCACTCTATCCACCTGTTAATGTGGGGGACAACTCCCCCATACCTACTGCCTTGCTTATCTCTTCTGAAAAGCTTGTAACCTTAATTGCATTATCAAGGCCACTAGCATTGTTTCAAAATGGCTGTACCAGTTCAAAGAAGATGCTGTATGCAACTCTGGTTCTTGGGAGAAACTAGTGGCTGGATAGCACATTCATCTGCTTAACAGGAGGCACCACGCAGAATACTAGGACTTCCCAATTGTTCCTCAGTAGTCAAAGTTACAATGATGGATTTGTTGTCTAATGAAAAACCTGCATCTGCTCTGTGGATGTGCATAAGTATGGCTGAGAAATCTTCACTGGAGAAATGAGGAACAGATGGATTTTCAGTGAGAGATCCTCCTGAAATTTTCCTCTTCCAGAATAAGATTTCTCTTCTCACACTCTGATCCTATTCCAGTGTCTTGGTCTCAAATCTCTTCTGGCAGCTGGTACATACTGTAGCATTGGAAACTGTTGCTGCAGCTTCTGCTCTGAAGTTGTGACCTCCACTGGCACAAATGTCAGAGCTAGTACAGGTCCTTACGGCATTAATTCATCACTGCAATCAAATGACACTTGTTAGCCTGTGGAAATGAGAAATTGCAATGCTGGCAGACGTGTTTCTTGCTCAAAATTCTGATTTTGTGCTGCTCTTCTGGCTTTGCATGACCTGTGATGCTAGGGTTGCCAGTCCCAGGCTGGTAGACAGAGACAGGGATTAGTGATGCTTCCCTGGCCTTGTAACAGCTTCTCTATCTGTTTCTTCCATCACAGTTGCCCTAAGATCTCCTCTATGGACAAAGAATAGTGAGTTCTGTTGTATGTATAACTGCTTTTGACAGCTATCACTGTCCAAAACAAAGATGGAAAGATTTCTTCATTCAACCAATGCAAATTCTGTATTCACTGACCGAATCACTGTGTTCAGAGAAGGGTTTGTTCCTCTCAAGTACCTCCAGCGCAGTGAAGGGCCCTGATCTGCTGGCTCCAGAAACTGCAGCAACTGAAGGGTGTGCTGGGCTGGGTGAGGAGGTGCTCCTGCTGTGCATGGACAGCTGCACAGCCTTGTAACCACCAAGAGCAGAGGGTGTGCTGGCAGCTTCTCAGCAGTTAGGATGCAGTTAGTTGTAGTGTCTTGTGATTTCTGTGAGGTAACAACATTGTGCATGTAACTTGGGCTCTTTTGCACGCTGGAATTCTGCAGCTGAAGTAAAGCAGGTTAAAAGAAAGCTAGTTTTGAGGAGAGAACTAATTCTGCTACAGCAATTAATGCCTGAGGTATCTGCGGCCCAAGTTCTGGGCCAGGTGGTGGGGCTGAATGGGCCCAAGAGAGCCTGATTCCACCTGGGCTGGGGTGGTTCTGGTGGGCCTCGCTTCAGGCACAGGTGGGCTCATTAGCAAGGCTGGAGCTCTCTCTGTGGAAACGTGTGGGAGAAAGGGCAGAATCCAGCATGGCAGCGAGGGACAAGGAGTGGTGTGAGAGAGCAGCTCTGCAGTACGCAGCTCAGAGGAACGGCAGGTAGGAGGAAGGCATTTTAGTCTTTGTTTCCTGCTCTGAAACCTTTTCTGCTCATGCTCGTGTCTGTTGTGTGATCTCCCGCTCGCTGTGAGCTCACACATCCTCTCCTGCCCTGCTGAGTAGAGGAGTGAGAGTGGATGGCAGCTCCGCCTTCCACCAGCTCTTGAAGGTTGATCTCCAAAACATTCAGAATTTGCATCAAAATATGTCTATGGTTTCTGTGGGTGGTACAAATAGTGCTTAGTTATTACAGCTTTGAAGCAATACAAGTGGGAATGAGTATCACGGCAAAAAAACTTATGGTGATCCCTGATTTTGGGGGTGAGGGATTGCAGAGAGAGCTGCTGCCTGCCCAGTGCAGCTGCCCTGTGCATAGAAGAGAAGGTCTGTTCTGTTGCTACTGCCCATGGGGGCAGGTGTTGGTTTTGGATCTAGGTCTGCTCTGTTGGAGATCAGAACTGAGAGCTTGGGAGCTATACCATCAGACAAGCGTTTAACAGCGGAGCTGGCTCAGGACTCAGGGATCCCATAGATATAAGCAAAAGCTGTTGCACTTGAAGAGCAACATTTGTGTGTGCTAGCAACATATCTTCTTTGTGAATTGGTGCTGAGGGAGGTTGCAATACACGCTAATGGCTTCCACCAGCACTTTCCCCTTCTTGGTCCAGTTGGGTTAATTGGTCACACTTCACTGTAACATCCACCTGCAGAAGCTGAGAAATTCACCCTTGTGCAACACAGAAGTGAAATTTGAGGCCTCTCTTCACAGAGCTGAACTTAACCCTGGGGGAGTAGTAGCTTTGCACATTTTGCCAAAGTACTTTGATTTTCAGGCTATATAGCAACAGGGAAACAAATCAGTTAGAAACTGGAGGATGAAAACAGCCAACTACTGTTACAGCTATTATATTTAAAAAGTAGTTAAAAGTCCTGCTATGTAGATGAAATTGAAGTTCCTGATGACTCAATAACGTAATCCCATATTTAATAAATGTTTGGAAGAGTATAACTATGACGGTATTGTTTATCACTTACCAGAGGCTTGTAAAATCTCTCCAAGCATGCGATAGTTAGATGAGCAGATCTCCTCAATTAGGTTCCAATTTCACATCATTGGTAGTGGTTCTGTTATGGATATACACAGTCCTTCTATCTGTGTGAAGAGGGAGTGCCTATTCGGCACGTGCTTCCTGTTGATTTGCATGGAAAATGTAAGGATTAGAGAGACATACTTAATTTTACCATTCATGGTAACATCTTGAATTTCTTGATTTATGTATTCTTGATAGATAAACAAACTTGATTAAAATTTGTAGTGTAGGACTTTGAGTCATATAAACAAATTCATTAAGTGTATATTTAAATACTTTAGCAAAACTTATGTCAACAGGCAAAAAAAATCATTTGATTATGTTCTTTTAAAATAAGGTTAATTTACAGAAAAAGAAGTGAAGGGGCAAGAGAGATGGCATAAGAAGGTAATAGAGGTTAGAACACCTTTCATTTCAGTAATGCTAGTCTTTTTCTGTTCTCCTATTTAAAAGGTGGAATTAGATTACTAATGTCTCTCAAAGGATACTTAAACTAATCAGGAAATATCTGAAAGAGCTTCTCTTCTCTCAAAAGGACCTGATAGGGTTGTCCCATCTGCCATGCATTATTTGCAATAGCAAAAAGCTTCTAGGACTACTTAATAAGAAAAGATAATGGAATCATATGTATTAATGGTCAAAACCCAAGTAAGAGCTGATGTCCCCTAAAACAAGGGCTTGATGTGTCATTTGGGAAACATTTCTTACATAGTTTTTTGTTGTTGTTTCTTTTTAACATGCATAGAAAACGTAATAGGCAAAATCATTTCCAAAACTGAGAGGTTTGCACAGGTAGTGAATCCTGATACCCAGATTACCTACATCTTGTACCAGTTTCATTAGAGGTTTAATTCAAGATAGATCTAGTTATCTATCTCCTTGTATTTCATAAATCCCTGAATTCCACTTGGTTACAGCAGCATGGGTTTTAATAGGTTTCCTTAAGTAAAACATATTACTGAACCATAACCATCCCCAGTCCAATTTGCTAGTCAGTGCATCAGTCCTCTTCACTGTCTCTAATGATTAAGAAAAAAGGAGCATTGTCTTTCAGCTTCCCGTTTTCCTTGATATTAAAGAACCTCTTTGTAACATATATTCTCTCCTCAGTTCCGGTCGCTTTTTATTTTTCTTTTGTAAAAGCATGGCAGGTAGAGCTCTTAAAGACATTCTCTCCTGCTCTCAAAGCATTTTTCTGGTTCATTTTTACATTTCTTGATGAGCTATGGCTTAACAGTGGATTCCTCCCCTTAAAGAAGTAACTAATTCTTTAAATGCTGTACTTGTTTGGAAGCCCTCGCCTCAGTCTCCCATAGAATAGACTTTGCCAGGACTGATTATCGTTTATGTTGATTAATTATAATTTATTTTCACAAGGAAACAGTGCATCTAAACCAAGAATATTCATTTTTGTACAGCATTTTTAAGTTTTTTCTTTAGTTTTGTTCTCTTAAAAACATTTTTAGACAGTGAAAGTACAACTTAATTATAAAATTGAGAATACAAAGGTAACTAATGCTTCTCCTCTTCCACTCCTCACCCCATGCACACTTAGATCCTGCTGCTTCTCTTGTCACCAGCTGTTAGCATTACTCCATAGCTGCACACCTGGCCCCTCGTTTCGTCCACACCTGTGTGTCCCAACGAAGGCCTTTAAAGACAACTCTCAGTGTATACAGCTTTGGATTATTTCAATTTTAAAAAACAACAGCATATCTCCACTGATTTTACAGAAATAACAGGTTTTCTTTTGTGTAGCCAAACTTTCATTTTCTTAAAAACAGTGAAAGGTAGATGTTTAAACACAGCTTAAGCCTTATGTCCGCTGCAACAAAGCTCTTAATTCAGTAATTGTTTGAAAATGAATTTATCTTATGGCATATTCAAGTAAAGTGTTTTCTGAAGAGTTTACCTCTGGAAGTGAGCACAGCATAGAGAATTTCTCCCACTTTTCAGAATATGAGAAGTAATGGGTCAATGACATAAACCCCTTGGTCCTCCTAAGACAAGAATCAACTGGGTACATGCAGCTGTAAAACTCTAGGCAATGGGAATTTTGAGACCTCTGAAGTTTAGGCACTTTCTAAGTGTACTGACCAGTAAAAAGGATTTTCAGACTTTGTGTTTTGGGCGCAGGGACCAAAGTCCTTGACAGATTTTGTCACAAATAACCCGAAAAATCTAGGAAACTCAGAATCAGTGATGAAATTCTAGCTGATAAAGTATGGGTGATTCCAGGCTTTTACAAATCATTTGGCTCCTTAGTCATTTATTGTTATTTCACAGAACAGAAGAGAACATGCTTCACAGGAGGAACAGTTGATGAAATCCCTGATGAAATACATAATTAGAACAGCCATAACATACACAGTCTGCTGCTCTTTCACCATTTGTCTACTTCCAAAACAACTGGTTGGTAATTTTCATTTTTTTCAAACGTACATTTTCTATATTGTGTAGCAGTCAGTTTCTTCTTTCCCCCTTTCATTTCCATGTGGATTTTACTACACAGTGTTAGGAGTTACCACAGAACTTTTTAAGGAATGGTATTGAGCAGTTAGTCGTGATGCCCTAACCACTACAGCTGTAGAACAGTATTGAAATAGTTTTCTTTTCAATCTGTAAGATGATGACCGCGCTTGTACTTCAGGATTTTAATTTTATTCCAACCCCAAGTTTTGTTTCCCAGGCCAGCTTGTGACACTTCATTTTCACTGCCTGACAAATGTCACATGCATCTGTTTCTTTGTGTTGCAAATCTCAAGATTTGCATAAGTAAATAGCTTTCTGCATTACTGAAACCACAAAAGTGTACAGACGTGCTGGAAACTGGTGCGCTAAAAATTACATTTGACTGCCCTGCGAAGAGTAAAGATTTAAAGGACTGAAAATGTTATTAATGATATCAGTGTAATGTCTTATTACTGGTGTGATCAGAATGGCTGGTTGACCTGATGTAAATCAGTTTTGGTCCTTTATTTTTAGAAGCTTCAAGTAAGAAGTATAGAATAGGGCAGAGATGTAACTGCATGCTGAATTTACCTGGCACATAGTTCACAGGCTTTCTGGAGAAAAACTGAAACAAAAATGATAGGCAGTCAGGGAATTGCCTGTGGGGAGAAAATTACCAAGTGAGATGTTCTGGACTCTTGCAGCTGGTGTCTTCCTTAGGTGGTTCCTCTTGGTTCTTCTTTGAAAGTGCATCTGGCACTCTGTGTATCTTCGTAGTTGCATGCAGAGAAAAAGAGCCTCAAAACTATGCATGTGAAGATACAATATAACCACTGTTAAAACTTTATTTTCAGGGGATTTACTTGCTGCTACATGACCATGGCATTTCACTGTTGTCGTCCTGCCTTTCCTGCATCAACCTGTTGCTTTTTTAGTCTCTTATTTAGGAAGGTAATTTAAGAGATGATGCCTTTAATGATGTTCTGAAGGTAGCTGTCAGATGTGGGGTTGCTGTGTGTGGTGACAACCAGCCCCAAAGCCTGAAATGATGTGATGGTAAATGGGAAGCCTGTAGAGCCCCAGTTTCTCTGAAGCCTGTCAGTTATCTTTAAGTTATCTCCTAAGTAAGGAGCAGAATTGTGAAAAGAGTTTCATGTAAGAGCTGCAGAAAAGATTTGACTGCCAAGATAGTGAAATAAATGTCTAATATCCAATTTACTTGACGGATATGAAAAGCCAAAATAACTGTTTACAAGTCCATTTTCTCAGTCCATTTACTGAGATTCTTGCTGCTTTGTTAGTGTAATGTATGTATGTGAATTGGTCCCAAATGATTTTGCTGATAATTATTTTCATTTACTACTTAACTATATTATATATGCAGCACATCAGTTACTTTTTAAAGAAAGATCTTTGAAAAACCTGTACTGGTATCTGGAGGAACAAATGCATTGTTCT